ATTCAGAAATTACCATTTTTAGAACAATAGGCTTGAGGAAATTAATGCAAAAACAGAAAAGTACAATAAACACCAACTATAGTTTACCTCAAAAAGGTAAAAACACAGACACAATATTTAAGTTTTGTCATTGGATGTACTAAAATTTTCAACTTCATCAGCTTTTTATCACTTATTTTTACTATTTATAATTATTCTACATTTTATTAATCATTGAATGTATTTAGTTTGTAAAAGATCTCCTTTTATGTTTGTATAATTCTTTATTTAAATTTTTAGATATTTCACCAATAGAACATTTTTTGAAATCTATTTTGTATATTCCTACTAAAAGTTTAATGCTGTTATTTTGCTTTGCATTGATTAACTTCCTTAGTTTTTAAGTATTTGTAATAAATTTTATATTAAGATTGGATAAATTATATTCAATTGTAGTTGTTATGGAATTGGTAGGTAGTATTATGCATATAGTTTGTCAAGGTTATTTACATTTGTTTGTTCTTTTTTGTTTGTTTTTTTCCATAAGCTTTCCTCTTCACATAATATATAATTAGGATATTAGAGGAGTTAAAAATATTTTCAATATATTTTTCTTCAAATCTTTAATCATTCACTTTATTAGTGATGTGAGTAGAAGTTTATGAGATCATTTTTGTTAATGGATTTTTGTAGATATTTAGTTTTATTATCAGTGCAGTTACACATGACATCAAGAAAGAGTAGTATATGGTTTCTGTTTCATAAGTAAATTTAGTTGAATATTCAATATTGTTTAATTTATTTACAAGATCAATATTAATTTGCAGTCATATATAAATAAGGCATTATTGATATATCAGAAATATCTTGATTCATTAAGCAACATTTTTTGGAAAGGATCAGTTTCTAGAAATTCTAAGAAAAGATGTACAAATACACTACATACATTTAAATTAGAGTTGCATGATGAATCTAATAAGAATTTCCATCTCTAGTAAATGCTAAAATTAAGATGATGACTAGAGATGCTTAAAATTACTCAAACAAAATCATTATGGAGTTTGCACAGTTTCTTTATAAATTTCCTCTAGATGTATATATATATATATATATATATATATATATATATATATATATATGTTTATATATATATATTTGTTAAAGCTCTCAATATTAAGGATAGTAAATGTAATAGCATATGTAAATATAAAAGTGGACATTAAAGTCAACACGCAGAGGCAACAGTGTTTTATGTTAAGCATAATCGTCAGACCATATATGTGTGCGTGCGTCTTAAGAATGTCCATGTCTTGTATATATGTAAACATATTTATGCCTGAGGAAAAAAATAAAAGAATCAACTTTATTTTAAAAAACTTTTCTTTATTAGAAAATATTATAAAACTGAATACTGATCCAAGGTATAAATATTTTTAATTAAATTCCAATATAAACTAATTAGGTCATTAAAAACAATCTTTGTTTATTCTCATTGTGGTGGCATTATCAAATTATTACTCATTTTACTTTCTAATGTAACATGATATTTTTAAGTTTAATGTGAAGGTAACCTTGAAGAGTGTTTGAAATTCTTCAATTACTATATATTATATCTGCTAATATGAAGGAGTAATGAAAAGTATTCAGCCCAACTAAGAAGCCAGATTTTGGGAAGTGGGTCAAGACAAGAATTTTTCAGCAACTCTCAGTATACTAGAATATTATAAAAAAAATTATTACCATTACTCTCTCCATATTCTATATATATATATATATATATATATATATATATATATATATATATATATATAATTTTTTTTGCTGCTGTTTAATGATTTCTTTAGAAATAAGTATCTCTTACACATAAAAAATAAAATAAAATTTGAACCACAGTTTTTCTTTGCATCTCATACAGTAAATGCAGAGATAAAAGTTCTGTTTGCTTCTCATGTGTCTTCCAGACATTCCAAACTACTATAAATACAAATTACTACTTCACACCAGGGGGGGGAAAAAAAAAAAAAAAAAAAAAAAAACTTAAACTTATAATATAGGCCAAGCATTTTAGGCAGTAAACTTTATATAAAATGATTCATAGATTTAATTCAAAAGTAACTTATTGACCAAATGCTAAGTTACAAGTTTAAGTTGAGTCATTAAGATAAAGTGAAAAGTGAAAAATAAAAAAAGCAAACAAAAACCCATTCTATCCCAACAATCCGTTCTCTCAAACCTGGGATTTAGAATCTATATCAATGATCTACTTTTTGCATGTTTGTATATTCTTTAGTGTAGCACAGCAAAAAGGAGTACAGTTTAGTGTAATTTTTGTTAAAATGCTCTAACTTTGGGAATAAAGTAATTCTCATTCTAATCATCCCATGAGTTTCTAATTAATTTTAATAAAGTATAAAAATAGACAATATATATTTCTGAGATGAGGTATTGTAATTAATTACAATGTTCAGACAGTTTATTGTTCCTCTTTATTGTTATATCATGATGTTTTAGCAGTTGTACACACTGACCTTCTTCAGGTAATTGGAATTTCAAATTGAACCCTTTATTTCACCCACCGGGGTAGATTCTAGTTCCATGTGCCATGCCTCTTCCAGATGTCTCAGTTATCTCCCTTTAACTCAACTCTTCAAATTTTTGTTCACTACTGCAGGAGCCAGGTATTGAATTCACAACACTTTTATCCACTGGGCCTTTTGTCCTTGAGGACATTAGTATATGAATTTTTGGGACTTATAAACCTAATGTTTCAGTAACCATTTTTACCAGTGCTCATATTGCAATTTTTGTCATTATTGTTTTGTTTTTTTTATCAGTGCTTATATTGCAATTTTTGTTGCTATTCATTGCTTTTCTCTAGCACTCCTTATTAATGGTTCCTATATTGTATTCATTTCTCTGCTTGGTTGGCTCAGGAGATTTTTTGTGGCCTGGCATATGTGCTGATTCCTTAAGTTTTTGTATTTTCCAGTGATCTTCTCTATTATTTCTACCTCATCCCACAGGGACAGTGATCTCCATTTCCCTCTATATGTGGTCAGCTACACCTGAATTTTCCATTTTCCTCTCATGTTACAGATTTATGATGTCCTTTCAAGTCTTATCTTAAAGTGGGGCCTGGTTATATTTTTTTCTTTTTATATATCTTATTTTTTTTAACACAGCTGCACAGGATGGCATACACACAGTCCTTAGTCATGTTCTCCTCTAAGTGTTGAACTACGTTTGAAGGTCATCTTGATGTTATATGGACCACACATTTTTCATGTTTTCTCCAATAATCCTTTCACATAGGGTAAGCAGACCAAAGCTAGCCAAGCATAGAAATGAATACAATATGGAAACTAGTAATATGGAGTGCTAGAGAAAAGCAATAACAACAGAAATTGTAATAGGAGCTCTGTTAAAAAATTATTACTGAGATATTAGGTTTATAAGTACCAAAAATTCATACACTGATGTCCTCAAGGCCAAGTGGATAGAAAGTGCTGGCTGGATCCAGTGACTTGACCCAGAGAGTTGTGAGTTCAGTACCTGGCTACTGCAGGGGTGAACAAAAACTTGGAGAATTGAATTAAAGTGAGATAACCGAGACATCCAGAAGAGGTATGACATGTGGAACTAGAACAATCTACACTGGTAGATGAAATAAAGGGTTCAGTTTAAAATTCCAATCACCTGAAGAAGGCCAAAGCACACAATGGCTGAAATGTCATGAATATGACAACAGTCCGAACAATGTAAATAAAAAGACAAATTTTTAAAAATTAAAAAAAATAAAAAATAGAAATAATATTTCAGTTAGATAACTCCTGTTCTATTAACTGAAGAAAATAAGAGGAATAAACAAGGAAATACCAGTTATGATACTATTACTACTAGACCCACCATGCTCACATTATTAAAGTATAGCGATAATTATTCTTTTATATACCGTTTCTTTTTTTTTTTTTTTTATCCAAGATCCATGTGATCATAGCTCTCCACAAATTCATGTTTTTGTTGATCGAGGTAACTTTTTACTATCATTATTCATGAACTCAAACTCATTAAATAGGTTTACTCATTTTCTCTTGCCTCCAGTGTACCATGTAAGTGTTAAATTCTCTAGGCCCCTTTTCCTCATTATGTATCCCAGAAATTTCAAGCTGTCTTTCTGGTTTCAAGTATCAGTTTCCTTGTAATTCCTATTTTTCTTAAAATTTTATTGTTGCTTAATTGTTCAGCCCATCATATTCTCAACATTCATTAATAGAATCACATCTCCTTGATTTCAACTCCCTTTATCATCTGTGAGGATTTACTCAACATTTAATGTGTACTATTTACATTATTCGGGCTATTGTCCTCATCTATGTCGCCATATTTATTACAACATTTCAGCCATTGTATGCTCTGGCCTTCTTCAGGAGGTTGGAATGTCGAACTGAACCCTTTATTTTGCTCACTGGGGTAGACTGTTCTAGTTCCACTTGCCATGTTTTTAATGGATATCAGTTATCTCCTGTTAATTTCCCTCTCCAAGTTCTCCATTGCCTTAACTGGGTATTGAACTCACACTGTTTGGGTCCTGTCACTGGATCTAACCAATGCCTTTATCCACTGTGCCATGTATCCTTAATGTGATAGATTAAATATTACATAGGAGTTCAACAATCTTTCTAAGGATATTTTCCTATCTCTTAATATTCTTAGTTTCTGAAAGGCATTTTTTATTATTTCTTTAGATTTCTGTATCACACTCTCTTTCATTAATTATTATATGATCTAGAAAAGTAAATTAAGTGGTGTTAATTAGCTTTTGCAAATAATTATAAGTTCTATAAATAGAAAGAGATTTGATGTAGCTTGGAGGCTGTCAAAGGCAGCATTCAAACAAGTTGATGCTAATAGGAAGATTTTAATATTATTCTTTTCAGAATTTTAAATGATTTTTATGTACTGTGCACTCCTGACCCTAGACTAAAATTACTTAAGATAGTTTAAGATAAATAACAACTTACCATGTCCATTTGCTCGATGAAACTTGGGCAAAGTAATCTCCATTCCTGTAAAAATTAAAAAAATCAAATTGTCACTTCTTAATCAAAAAAAAATTATTACAGAACCCCCCCACAAAAAACACGTGCGCACACACACACAAATGGTTGCATATAATTCTTTAAATATATAGTCATTTTGCTCAATTTAAGAAAAAAAAAAAAATTAAAAATTATAAAATAAATAAAAGTCATGAATTAATTTTTAAGAATAATTTAATAATTTTAAAGTGATATTTAAAATCCAATAGACTAACAATTTTTCTTTCCAAGAATGAAACAAAACTTTAAAAATATTTCATGAAGTTGAAAACAATTTTTATATTCTGATCTTGGAAGAAAGAATTAAACAGATTTAAAGTTTTAATTTATTTTCAAAATAAAAATTTATACCAATTAAACATAAAAATGTTAGCCCGTTGGCCTAAACAGCGTTATCTATCAACTTACAAAAAATATTACAAATGAGGGAAAGCAATTAGAATTATTAGAAGCCAAGAGATATAATTTTCTAAGGTCAATCTAAATATAAATTTCATATAATATCTGATTGTTTAATTAATAATCAAGTGAATGAAAAATCTGCCATCTATTTTTTATTTTCACCTGAATATTTTTCAAGTTAATCAAGCATCAAATAATTTTAATTGCATTTGTGTATCAAGTGTATTTCTTTTCAATGTCTATACAAAAATATATACAACCTGAATAGATTAGATTCTTTTTACATGATAGGAACATTTAACAAATAACAGTCTCAGTACTTAATAACAATATTAATCACTTGTGGATAAAGATTTTTAAAGAACCAATTCAAAGTACAAACAATATATAGACTGTAAATTTATTCTTGACAATTTGTCAATAGAATGTAATAAAAAAATTTTTTTTCAAAAAATAAAAATTATCATTTTCAAAGAAATTTTATTTTTCATGTATTTCTAATCAGGAGTTATTTCATTAAACTAAAATGCAGATTAAACAGAAATTAAACATTTTTTGTAAATTTCTTTTGGCACAAAATTATGTTTGAATTTTACTTTAAACTTTTATTTATAATTTCTCTATCTTTCATAATGAATTTGTTAGAGTCATGAACGAAGTAATACTATCATTAAGCATTTTCATTACAAGAGAGAAACCTTGATAAATTTATGGAACCAATGACAGCCTAAACAGTTAAAAAAAATGATATACTTAGTAATTACCTTCTTTCTGATTGTAAGTATCAGTTTCCTTGTAATTCCCATTTTCCTTAAGACTTTCAAATTGGACATATTAAAGTAAGGTATTGAAATCAATGTTCAAACAATAACTTAGTCAACAGAATGTCATAAATATAAACAAAGAAATAAATATGTCACATCTTCTCTTATAAGAATTATAAGCTACATTATAAATGAATGAATTTCAATGAAACATTTTATGATAATCTCAAAATAGTTTTAATTGGAATACCATCAAGTAACTTTACTTAATTTAAACTTCAGTATCAATGTTTGGCATTGAATGGAGAGTTTTTTAAAATCAACTAAAATAAAACAGACATTGATGCATCTATTCTTCCAGAGAAAAAGCTTTGGCATAAAGAAAACATAGAAACAAAATTTTGATTACAATTTCAAATCCTCAAAAGTAGTGTAGTATTAGAAAGAATATATGAGAGAGAAATATTAACCAAAGTAGAAAATAAATATATACAAGGCATCCTAAACAAAGGAGTTCATTCAGTTTATTGCACAGGATCAGAACAAGTTAAAAAGATAAAATTCACAAATGAAATTACATAAACAAATGATGAAATTAAACAAAATTGCCAAAAGATTCTCTTTTAAAATGTCCTTATTAATTATGAAAATTATTTTTGTTGAATAGCCATATAGAATTCAGGCTTTTCAAATTTCCATCACCAATTGTTTTACTAATAGTAACAAGGTTATTTAAAAGCCAAAAAATTTATGAAGAAAAAAAAAAATTAGAAAATCCATTTTTTTTAACTAAATATTTTTGAGAATATAACCATTTACTGCATCTTATAGGCAGACTAGGTAATTATTTGAAACCAATAGACAGACTAGGCAATTATTTGAAACTAATAGACAGACTAGGCAATTATTTGAAACCAATAGACAGACTAGGCAATTATTTGAAACCAATAGACAGACTAGGCAATTATTTGAAACCAATTTTCTTCATAGGTGAGTTCTTTGATAAAATCTTAGTATTCAAATGAGGTTTGTGAAAATATCACTCATTGCTTTCCACCAAATTACCAAAGGAATAATACTTTTTGCTTACAATAAAAATAACATCTCATCCAAATATTTACAGAATGTCATGTGAATCTGTATTATTTTCATTTTTATAGCACATGAGTGCATCTAAAAATGAACATCTGTTGTCCTAATAATTATTCAGTCAATAAGAGGAGACAAATTAGAATTTTTAATGACAAATAGGAGCTATCACCAGTCTAGATCCCCATGAAGTATGTGGGCCTGATGTTACTCCTGTAATGGTCATTAAAACTGGTTCCCATTCTTTCTAAACTGTATAATAAATGCCTTGCTTCCTCCTGCTTTCCTGCCTGCTGGAAATCATCATCTGTTGTTCCTCTTTTTTAAGAATTCTGGTGAGCTGTTCAACCCTTCCAATTATCAGCCTATTAGCTTTCTACCTCTTTTTGAGAAAATTCTAGAGGCCCTAATCAATGCTGAATTGGTTCATCACAGGGTTTTTTCTCAGACAAGCAATATGGCTTTCATTTCTCCAGGTCAACTGCTGATATACCGATGATCCTTTTGTACCAATGCAGATGTCCCTTAGGGCTCCATACTTAGTCCTACTCTATTTTTTATTTTCATTAATGACATCAGCTCTCAACTTGGTATCTACGTTGACGACACAACAACTTGCTCCTGCCTCAATAGTAAGGCTTATCAGTCTGACAAGGTTAAATTGGCAGCCAATGTCCAAAATGACCTCAGGTCTGTAGTTAACTGGGGCCAAAGAAGGTGGGTTAATTTTAATCTCGTCAAAACTAAATTTTTCTCCATTAATCATTTAAGAGACCCCTTGCTACCTTCCATTAACATGGCAGATGCTATCCTCCAGGAAAATAACTTGTCATTCCTTCTCGGGTTCATGTTCTCTGCTGATATGAAGTGAAAAGATTATATTTAATCCATTGCTAGATCAGCCGCTAAGAAAGTTGGATTACTATGTAGGGCAAGACAATTCTTCTCTTCAGAATCTATCTTACATATATATAAGTCTACCATTCGTCCATGCTTAGAATATTACTGCCACATATGGTCCGTTGCCCCTGCTATTTATCTTAAGCTCCTTGGTAAAATCCAAAGAAAAATCTGCAATATTATTGTTCAGCTCTAGTCACTTTCCCTCCACCATAAGGTTGCCTCTAGCTGTCTTTTTTATAAATATTTTCATGGTAATTGTTTGGATGTGCTCTTCACTATGGTACCTAGAGTTTTTTAATTTAAGCAAAGCACTAGACTGATGTTGAGATTTCATCAATTTACAGTCAAGCTGTCCAGATGTAGCTTTAAATTGTATGTTAACAGTTTCTTCTCTTGCACTTCGCTTGTGAAACTCCCTTCCAGCTCCATGCTCTCCAACCAACTTTAATCTACAAAAATTTAAATGTAATGTCAATCACTATCTATTGTCCACCTGAGTACTATCTTCTCTTTCTGCTCATCATTAATGTTTCTGTTCCTAAGTCTTCCACACCCTGTAACCCCTTTTGTTTTAGTGGTTTTACTACATTGCTTGAGGTGATACCAATTAAAAAGAAAAAAAAAGTGTTTCTTGAGAGCTATCTAAATACTACAGATGTAAAATCTTTTCTGACAGATCCACATCGTTATAAATAGGCTCATCTAGGCTTGTTAGCAATCCTCACTTTAACTGCAATATGCTACTACCTCTTGTTCATAACATCCACACATTTCTGAGAAGTATTAAATTAAAAATATCAATGCATTGAGATTCATAAAAAGAAAAACAAAATCAACAAAACCAAACATTAAAACTAAGGAGTCAAGGTAATCTAATCTACATTATTTACATTATTCAGACTATTGTCCTCATCTTTGTTGCGATATTTATCACAACATTTTGGCCGTTGTACACTCCAGCCTTATTGTATTTCTACTCCAGTTGGTTGGAATGTCGAACTGAACCCTTTATTTCGCTCACCGGGATAGACTGTTCTAGTTCCATGAGCCATGTTTGATGGGTGTCAGTTATCAGTTAATTTCGCTCTGAAAGTTCTCCACTGCCATAACCGGGTATTGAACTCACACTGTTTGGGTCCTTTCACTGGATCTAACTAATTTATCCACTGTGCCATGTGTCCTTGAGGACATCTGGGTATGAATTTCTGGGTATTATAAACCTAATATCTTCAGCAACCATTTTTACCAGTGCTCATATTGCAATTTTGCTGTTATCATTGCATGTTTTTACCAGAGCTCATATTGCAACTATGTTGTTATCATTGCTTTTCTCTGGCACTCCTTATTACTGGTTCCCATCTTGTATTTATTTCTATGCTTGGTCGGCTCAGGAGATTTTTGTGGCCTAGCATATGTGCTGATTCCTTAAGTTTACGAATTTTCAAATGCTGTTCCTTGTTAATGATCTCAACATGATCCCACAGAGGGCAGTGATCTCCCTTCTCTCTCCATATGTGGTCAGCCACGCCTGATTTTTCTACTTCCCCTCGTGTTACAGCTTTCTGGTGTTCTTGAAGCCTTACCTTGAGGGGGCAGCCTGTCTCTCTTTTATATTCCTTTCCGCAGCTGCATGGGATAGCGTACACACAGTCTTTAGTCATGTTTTCCTCTATGGGGGATCTTACTTGGGAGAGATATCTGCAAAGTGTCGTCAAGCTTTTGAAGGTTGTCCTGATGTTATACGGACTGCAGATCCTTTGTATTTTCTCTGATAACCCCTTCACATAAGGCAGGCAGACTGTTTTCTGA